TCTGCGTCGAAGAGTGGAGGTTAACGTGAATCACCCCTTCCTTTTCTTGATTTGGAATGGAAACACGTTGCTCTTCGTAGGTCGAGTCATCAATCCCAGCATATGAAAAGCACTCCCTTTCACGGAAATGTAAGCAAATTCAAAATTAAGGCAATTGGCATTTAAAGAATATAGTTTTGGAGGAACAAGCACCATACTTCGAATCCAGTTCACCGCTTGGTTGATCTGGAAATCATGGCACACGCTAATATATATTGTAATATATACTAACATTATGAAATATTAAAGATATAAAACAAATAACTGAAGTGATATAAATGAACTTGACACACCAATAAGCAGTTTTACTATTATTATAACATTCGTGGACAATAAATAAGCTGGATACAAATACCGCATCTTGCGTTATCTTCCACTTGTTTCTTTCGCATTATATTTTTTATGTTTATAACAACACAGATTTTTATCTGGTTACGGCATGATGGATGTCTTATTCATTTTTTAATATTGTTCATGTTCATGTATTTTGACATTAATTCCATAATTGCTTTCTTGTATTCATTCTATTGCGCTACCAGTTCCTGGCTACTCCCAAGAAATTATGAAGGCGTTCATTTTCATTTTATAGTTCCTCGCATTTTTTGTAAGGGCTTCGCAATATTAGACAACTACGTACTCTGATGAGAGCACACGAAAGTGCTTTCAATAAGCACAAACATTTTTCTGCACTGATATTCGAAATCAGACCCATCGACGTAGCTCACAATGCGGTTTTCCGCTACACAACGCACTCGTTCGGGCGTATTCATATGGGCGGACGCTGAAAAAATTCGATTGTTAGATGATTTCCAACACGCAAATTCAGAGATTTTAATGAATATCAAACCTACGCCTTTCTTTTAAGTATCCCTTGTTTTATTTGTGTAAAATTAAAGGATGTGAGTTGTTTTAGAGAATTTGTTTTATCAATTGCATGAATGTTAAGCACAAATTTCGCGACAACTATTTATTTTCTTCAAAAACTTGGACACATTTTTAAGAGATGATTTTTTTAAACGGATATTGATAAAGGAAACAATCTTCATCTTCCATTATGAACTTTTAAAACGTTAACTACTTGTAATTCTCTAAAATACAGAGTTAACCAAACATGAGACAAGCACAACTTTTCACTGTCCTTTGATACAAACTAAAAAAAGTAAAGAAAAAGTCTAATAATTGCCTAAATTGTAAGCAAACTTCACATACTATGACGAGACTCCACTCTTCGGCTTACGATGTTAACATATCATTACTGAGTCTGCCGGACGCATTTTTTCATTCAGAAACAAATCATCGGAAAATTAAAAACATGGATCACAAAACATCGATGTTTAAAAAAACATCGGCGGCGTTAATACATCGAGGTTTTGAAAACATCGACATGAATGTCGCTTCCCTGATCCTCACACGTTACTCACCAACACACTCACTATCACATTTCACGGAATACCAGTCGTGAGCTTAGCGCTTGTCTTGGATGGGGCGGTGGAGGGAGATAGTTGGTTGACGATATTCCCTCGAAGTCGATCAAGGTCGGCACCAAATCTCGCCAACCAACAGGGAAGATCACTGCCACCTCCAGAGATAAAAGCATGCACTACGCTTGCGGAACAAACGTCCTTAGCCGTTAACGCGCTCAGGATCACTAATGAATTAATCGATTAATTGGAGAAGTGCACAACTAAATGCGGCGAGGAAGCGCCAAGTGATCCAAAATAATACGTGGGAAATGTTTTTGATCGGGGCTGCACCTTTTTGCCTCTCCTCCAAGGGAGCCTTTTACATGTGCTGGTAGGTTTCGTTCGACGGAGGGGGATAAAATGAATTTGGGAGTCGGCTTAATGACCGTAGAGGCGGGCGGGCCTTGCCTCTACGGAAAGAAAGTTACTACATCGCAAATTTGTACGGTGCGAATATATTTGTGGGAAGGCTACTACTAAAATTTCAATCATTCATCCATTCATCCATTCATCCATTCATCCATTCATCCATTCATCCATTCATCCATTCATCCATTCATTCATTCATTCATGTCATTATATGCATATGAATATTTTGTTTTAATTTTTTAAATTCATTACTCCTTTTATAAATCATCCACTTTTGGCGCTAATGCTGTTAATTGCTCTTTCTCTGGTGAATTTTTATAAAGGTCATGATAGCTGTTCAAGGTATATTGCATGCATGCCTAGTTCTACAAGAATGGGAGAAAGAAAAACATAAATGTATATTTTTTGAAAATTTGATAGGATTGTCAAGTGAGTTATTGTTTATAAATACAACGAACGTGACAAGCAAGTAATATATTGATATCTCGTATCGCCTTAACCCAATTAAGGAAATTAATTGAATACATTTTATCTTGATTTTAAGGGAAACAAAGATTAATCAATTTTGCTGTTTTGCAGGTGTAAATTACCAAAGTTACGCTGCGTATACGATCGAGGAATTCAACGCTGACCATCCATTTCTTATAATTATAGAAAAAGATAATACTATACTATTCCTTGGAAGAGTCTATAATCCGCTAAACTAAGATCAATAGATCATATTCCATGATATGTACAGTTTTATCTGGAGAAATAAATATTTGATTTTATATAATATAATATAACATAATATACCCAAAATCCTTGGCCTTGTAGTCTAACTAAAGGTAGGTGTTTGTTTATAGTGAGGCATATTGGATATTCATATTTGTTAATATTGAAATATAATTTGCTCAAATTCTAATCATGGGTAAAACATTCTGACTCCACGAAATTCGCCTAACAAATTAATTCAATTTTTAAAAAAGGATTTACCTAATACAAATTTCTGAGTGAATCACACAGATCTATCACAGACATCAACATTTAAAAAAACATTTCCGATAATACAATATTGTACATGTAATATACTATTTAAGTAATATATAGATATGTTTAAGACTAATTTATATTACAAAAGTATATTTTAACATTTCGAGATCAGTTTGACACAACTTTTAAGATACAGAAAACACACAAACAATTTAGACTACAAAACAATTAATACAAACAAAACAGACAAACGTACACAAACTTCTGCACAAACGTCCTGGTGACTCAGAGACAATTTATCGTCTATATTTCTCTTTAAATACTTTCAGTGCATACGAGCTCATGGAATGTTACGAGTGCACTTCTTTTTACGTTTACCTGCAGATAAAAATATCTGTGTATGTGTTTCTACATGTCTCTGACTCTTCCTTTGTTAGTGATGCGAAACTTTTCATGTGAATAACATTAATTAGACAGGCATTTTTGATTTATTCCATCCTCCTCAAAGAAAATCAAAACAAAAGAATGCATGTAGCCGGTTTTCAATCTGCAAATTTGGACTTAGTGATTCCAACAGAATAAAATCCAAATTTTTGAAAGATAAAATCCGTCCACCTTTATTATTAGAATTATTAATATTGATACCCCGAGAAATAGTTTAATTAAAATCAAATCTTTCAAATTAAACAACTATTTTAAACTACTAAAATTAGTAATGCTTTAATTAGTTTACAGTCAGCGATGATGTCAAAACCTATTGTGACTATTATTTAAATTGTATTCCAGCTCATGAAAGTCCTTCTGGCCGAACAAGAAATAAAGAAAGAAAGGACTTAACGCTTTATAATATAATGGGCTTGGTCGGTTATGAAGTTCTGCGAAATTTGAAAGTTAGCCAAACAAAACAACTTGAAAGGCTATCTCCGAAACATCTTGCAGATTTCTCCAACAGAACAAATGTATACTGATTATATTTCTTGGTTTAATTATAGGTATATTAACAAGAATTCTTTTCAAAAGTATAAAGAGTTTATATTGTGAACACACCTGATTTTACAATTACAGTTGTGATTTTGTTTTGGAATATAGGTGAACAAAAGCAATTTAACAAACTAGTTTTAGAATAGAAAACAATGCTAATTCAATTTTTTAAAGTATTATGTGTAAGAAAAGGTTTTTTCTAGTTTTTTTGTACCACACATTAGTAAAATATCAACTATACCTCTGCAATATTGTTTTATAATTTGTATGATCCAATTAAGAAAGTCAGTCCATGAAATATTAAAATTGCCATACCTTACAGGTGTAAAGTGATTGTTCCAAAGTTGATGTCAAAGAGTGGTTTTCAAAACTCCAAGTATTTACAATGCTCTGGGTGGTATAGTGAAGTCAAAAATTACCACTCTCAACTAGAAAAAATTAGAAACAATGAGTTGTTAATAAATTAAAACAAATTTTATTTTTACATTTATGTTTCCTTTGATATTGGAGCAATGTCACATCCATTTTGGAGGTAACCAAACTTTTTGAAATATAATTTTTGTGTAATTGTTTTCAAATTATTGAGAACAATTACTTTTTATTGCACCACACCCAGAAAATATATTCATTTTATATTTTTTTTAATTTCAAGATTAGAATTACAAAAAAGATTATTTAAAATTTAAAAGCAGAATTTTTTCTCAAAATGAAATTACTTTCCGCTCCCGAATTACTTGCTGGATAAGCCCCAACTTTAGATAAATAGAAAATGACTTTTCTACATACATCAAACTTTCATATACGAAAACTTAACTTAAATGAATCTGATTTAACTGTAGTTAATACAGGAAACTACATCGGACAGATTCATGTTCGAAATGTAATGTTATAATTTAAGGATGTTTTCCCCCTCAACTTGAATGTGAGTAGTTTGCAGTACATAAAATGGAAATGTGGCAAAAGCTCTTGTTTGCTTTTCAGGATCTTCAGAGGCTCACGACAATTTATAAAAAGCATTATTTATGTATCAAAAACCTCGGAATGTTTTTTCTTTATTAAAAGACTGAAATAGATATTTTTCCAGTTTACATTACATTTATACATTATGGATTATTGGTCATCTTTTTACATTATTTCTTCTCCATGTTCACAAAAATATTGAAATTTCTCTTACAGGTATAAACTGGTTTATTGGGATGATATATCCAAGAGTAGACTTCAGAGCTGATCATCCTTTCCTGTTTATGATAAAGAAAGAAAACACAATACTCTTCCTGGGTCGTGTGGTTAACCCCAGAAGTTAGTGGTTTTAATGACAATGTAGAAGTAATGAGTAACTAATGAAGTGAATGACGTAAAATAAATTTACATTTTAGAATTCTGACTTCTGTCTTATTAAAGAAAAACCTACACTCATTAAACACATATTTTCCTACTACCTACGAACATACTAACAGTGAGCGTTTTTTATTTATTACAGTCCCATCAACCGAAGGTTCTTAAGGAATATTCAATATTTTACATATTCAATATTTGACTTTTTTGGTCCTATCTACCATATACGGCAGTTAGGTGACATATAGCGGATTTTCTTGGGATGAATTATTTAGGGTGGTTTCCCGTTGCCTTCCCCGAAATGATGAAAATTGGGAGTGAAAGGACAAACACAATACAACCGTGCCCGAGGCGGGACTCGAATCCGCGATCCTTCGCTCCGAGATCGCTACGGCACTATTGCCGTAGCGATCTCGGCCACCGGATCGGCCAATATTTGACTTAACATGGGTTATATATACAGTACACTTATTACAATGGCAGTGACATTATTTTAATAATTGATAACTTGGTACCCAATCTTCGTTAGTATGATGACATGAACAGGAATTCACATATGTGGTGTGCGTTACAAAAACAAACGAGTAGAGTTCCTCATCAAAGGAAGACATTATTGAAAATGATGATCTCTAAATATACAATATGTACATAAATGTAACATATATGGGCTGCTCTCTCCAATGTTCTGATCTCGAATTATCACAATCAGGTAAATTGTATAAAGGGGATTGTCCAAGCATATTGATATTTATCCTGTTATTATCCGGTTATTACCCTATAGTTATCCGGTTCATTATATTGGGACAAAATAAAATCTATAGCAAGAAAATATTTACAATCATTGTGTTAACAAAACAGAAACTTCTGTGGACCGAGCGAAGTGGCTCAGGGGGCATTGGCAAGGTCCCGGTCCAGCCCTAGTGCCGGCCATCCTGACGGGTGTTTTTGCGTTTTTCCTCGGTCATCCAGGGGAATGCTGGGATGGTTCTGCTGAAAAGACCGTGACAGCGGAACCGGCATCACTAGCTGAATTCGTTAACTACTTGAAGTTAACGAATTCATGGTTAAGCGAATTCTAGGCTTCGCGACCTCCTGGTTGGGTGACCGACTAGGTATCCCAGGATCTAACGGCGCCCAGGCCAATTGCCCTTCACGAAACATATGATGGCAAAATTTACAGAAATACAAAATACACGTCTGTGGATTTCTTCTCGTTAATGTCAAATTTCGATGGCTTTCCACCAGTTAGTTAACTTCTCATTTCACGTGGCGGGATTATGTCCATTACGCCCGCTCTTTCGTCTGACCAAGCAAATTTCCCTAGGCTCCTTTCACCTCTAGCGGAGAAAGAAGGTATTTCTCGAGCGATGAAACAGGCGAATTTAAATTTAGCTCATAGGCTTCTTATAGGATTGAAAATCTTTTTCATGCAATAAATCTACAACATGGGACTGCCGGATTGACTTCTCTGATGGAAGGCGTACGAAGAATATTTTGCCCTTAAAAATCCACTGCTTCAATCAGATTTGAACCTCGCAAACATGGATAAAACAACCCGATACGCTAACGAACACGCGAGTTGTAGTTTGTGTTCACAGTTAGAGGCCAATCCCATAAAGTCTCGGCCATTGCTTGGGCGAATCTCTCGATAAATCTCCCCCAGCCGCCTCCTTGCCTGGGAGAGCCCCGTGCACAGGCCACGCGCGCACGTGCGGTCGCAACTCCCTCACCCCTCGAGCCGCCTCGCAGGGCCGCTGGGAGCGCTGCAGGTGCCGGCGATGGCCGTGGGAAAGCCACCCCGCGCCTCCGCTCGCGTGGGGCGGCCAGCAGCGGCAGCTCAGGGGTTCGCAGCCCGGCGCACCCGGCACGTCACGTGGAGGCGGGGGTGTGACGCGGTGGCGATGGTGACAGGAGCGCGGCGGCGAGGGTGAAGGCGGTATTCGAAGGTATGTGGGCGAAGGGAAGGCCCGGGGCGGCAGCGGTGGAGGTTTCGACGCAGTGGCGGAGGCGGTGGAGGCAGCGGCGGCGACGGTGGTGAATAAGGTTGAGATGTCAGCGTCAGTGAAGGGGAGGTGGGGATGGGCGCGATTGTGTCAGTGATGGTGGAGATGACGGCGGGGGCGGCGGCGTGGGCGAGAGCGCTGGTGCGAGTTGGGGGCGGGATGAG